TGCATATATTTTGTACAGGAAACATTTTTTTTTGTATTTTTTTTTTTTTACATTTTTCTTTCTCTTCTTTTCAATCAAACATTTTTCAATAAAATAATATTACACGTAAATTCAAAAAAATCTTATTTTTTAACCACACATTCTCTATCAATTTATGTAGGGCCCCACCCAGAATGGGGCAAAAAAACCCGCCTCGTGAAGAATAAAAAAAAAGTCGAGTCACATAACAATAGAGTACTACACTATATGTGTACCATGGCAATATTATAAGAGTGAACGATTTTAATGTCAAAAGTCGAGTCACATAACAATAGAGTTCATAGGTTTACGTACTTAATTAATTAACAACTACTTACATTTGCGGCATCTATTAATCATCATAAAAGCTATTAGACTATCTTCGCAAGATGGTTTTGAAAGTATAATGATAAATCATAAATTAAGAGGAATATCTTATACAAGAATTAAAAATAACTAGGGACTTGTAGTTCATGCAGCAAATTGGTCCCCAACCTTCAAAAATTAGCAAGTTTCCCTGCAACATATTAATTTGTTTATGTGCACAAGAACAATCTATCAAAAATATTTTTAACTCATCATCCCAATAACAATCTCTCAAAAAATACATTAAGATGTTGACATTTTTCCTTTCAATGCTGATCCATCTAAATGAAATTTACCATATTACACTTAGGCCATATTTGATTGCAATGAATTCCATGGAAAATGTCACATTCGAGGAAAACGAATTCCGCTTTAACTCTTTGATTGCAACGTGAAAATGAAAATCGAATTTTAAGGTACAACCACTTTAAGTTACATTTTCTTAATTTTAATGAAAAACGAATTCTTATGGATTTTGTGGATTTTTATTTTCCAACTAACATGGAATTTAAATTCATTTCTCATTTACCTATCAAACGGACCCTTAGTTACTTATGTAGTCCGAGAACTGAACTTCTTGTATATGTACCGTAACTTCCTTCATAGAGTCATCTATGGGATATGTAGGAGCAACGTGATGATTTCGAAAGGAGAGATGGATGATTGACTTTTACGGGATAAGGAGCAAAAGAAAAGAAATCTCTTCGACAATCTCTAGTCATGTCCCCTCAAATACCTATAACTATAAAGAAATATTGAAGGGCTTATGTTTTAAAACAACCAAGGTATCAGAATTGCTCTGATATCAATTGTTGTGGAACAAACTATCGGATTGAGATGTTTAAGTTATATGACAAATAATAATGAAATATTTGATCAAGTAAAAGAATAAAGAAGATATGAATATGGTAAATGAATTAAGAGATTTTATTGACTCAATAACAATGGAAAAGAGAGAAAATTACAGTGGATCATATAATTCTAGTAATGTAGTTTCTCACATTATAAAATTGTATAGAAAAACCTAGTATTTATAGGGAACAAGTAAGTGATAAGCGTGTTTTTACATACTTATTTGACTGTCATAACTGATCAACATGATCAATTATTGTTTAAGATGTTGGAATATAATTTAATTCTATGTAATTCATATTTTGCAAGATAAAGTGATGAATGTCGTGAAATAAGGAGAAACAAGTGAAAAATGACCAAAATAGAGGAAAATAAAAGTTCAGGGACCAACATGAAAATAATCTAAACTTGTTTCTAACCTTGTGATGAAGATTCGAGAGTTTTAGAGGTCAATTGAATGAAGAAAGAAGTCAAATAGGTGAAATATAACCAAGACATTATCACATATCAACTTTCAAGTTGAAAAGTTGTGTACTGATTTTCAGCCTCATTTTGAGACCAATTTTTGACATGGTAAATGATCTAATTCGAAGATGATATTTGAATAAAAGTTGTAGTCCTTTGAGGTACTTTTTCAACGCATCTTGAATCACCTCAATCTGATGTCAGGAGAGAAGGATACGATCAAAATACTGAAAACTGTTTGGCGGGAAAACATTATAACCATGCGGCCGCATGGTTATAGAACCATGCAGCCGCATGGTCATCTACCGAGAATTCAAGGGTAACAATTCATTGTTCCATGCGGCCACATGGGTTTATACCTTGCAGCCGCATAGGTCATTTCTGTGACGAAATTTATGGTTTCCTTCTATGACTCAAACTCATTTGGTAACACATCTTGCACGACTTCAAACGCAAATACATCACAAAACACCCCAGGACGCCTCATTCTTCATTCTACACCATTCATTCATTGATTTGGCTCAAGAAACACATGAGGAACTAAAGATTTTGGTAAAGTTACAAAAGAACTCGGTTGGAATTGGTGATTTCATATATTT